CAGACCACAATGGGTGACTACATAACCGGGCCAGTCAGTAACACACTGCCTGACCCACGAATCCAAGCATAACGACCGAAGACTGAAGAGACGTAGCACGGCGGGTTGATTCCAGAAGACAGCCGCGATTGCTCTCGGGACCTCCCTTTTATGCTCCCGAGCGTGGCCTGGCTCCGCCTTCAGCCACGCCCCCTTCTGGATCTCAGCAGAAGGTTCTCGACTGAACATCACGTGTCCCTCAAGCCATCCTTTGGGCCCCATCGCTACCCTGTCCCGGTCATGTGCCCTCTCGGGTTCATCCAGACTGTCGCGTCCTTTCTTGCCCTCTCTTTGACCATCACCAGAACCATGCCCCTGAGAGCCCGCTTCCATGCCATACCTACTCTGGTGCCAGAGACAGTAGCTGGCGCTAAACGCTATTGTGACTCCATTTACGTCAATACATATGTATAAGATTACAGGTGTCCAGAGTGATAGTAGCACATATTGCAATTCTAGAACATGTATATCTTGTCATGGGCATCAACAATGCATGCAGGGATTAAGCTGCATTAACACTGCAATGCTCCACATACACACAGAAGCAAAATGAGATATTTAGATAGAGGATCATCGTTGAGGGACAAAAACTGAGACTATCATGGGAATAAGAATGGAGAACTATGTGTAAATGCATTGTCTTGAGTGGGGTATTGCAGTGTCTGACAATTGACAAAACAATTTCTAGGCCTCAAAAAGAGAATGATCCTGGGCAAACCAGGGTAGGCGGCGGACCCTATTTAGACATACGGTACGTCTCCACATTTTTGTTTCACCAGACACCGTAATCACTGTCCACCATTGAGATTAATTGACACACAGGTTCAGATTTGTCTGTACCATGTGGGCAATACCCAAGCTATGGTAAAACAATATGCACAATAAATCACAATGAAATCGAATTGGGTGGTGACACAGCCCAGTGGTAGCAGGTTCGCCACTTCTTGCAGAGGTTCCAATCCAACAGCTGCCCTGATTATCACTGTGGGTGTAATAAACATATTCATACTACACACCATCTGCCTTACAGTTGACGTCAAAGATCTTGAACTATATAAAAAGTTTATTTTATTTTCAAAAGGTAAAGTCCACTGAGCTATACAGCTTTTTTTTTAAAAGCGACCTGGCCACAAATGATATCTCAATGAAATAGCCTATCACGTGGACATTTCTAGTAGCCAATTACTCTGAACGCATATTGATGTGGAGGGAAAAACCGGAGGACCCAGAGAAAAATCCACGCGACCATGGGGAGAAAGACACACAAACATGCAAATATATAGCATGGCCGGGGATCGGGATAAAATCCGTGTCCTCTTGTATACCAGGCGAGGTAGTTAACATCTCGTCACCGCGGCGCCCCTGATGCCATTTACAAGAGTAAGCCATTGTGTGCTGGTGTCTGGGTCCCATTTTACCAGACATCTGTAAAAAAGAGCTCATCAGATTCCTTTAGTATAAATAACGATTCTGATTATGATAATTAGCTACATTTTAATAGTAGTATTTTACTGTACATATCAATCATCACCCCTACTGGCAGACTAATGCCCAAGGTCACTCTTGTAAAGGTGACTTTACTGATCTATTGAGTTGTCACCTCGTAAAAAAAAATCTTATTTGTAATACCGTATAGACATTATTGCACGTAAAAAAAATGCTGTTGCATCAACATCTCCTTGAAAAGTGTAACTGTATGTTATGCATTTCCGACAAGTATCCATGTGCAATACTGTACTTACTGTTTGGGATGATCACAGGTTGAATCGACTCACAGTGTATTCCGGTAAAGGGGAGATTACACGTGCACATATTAGAATTGCAATTTGGTTCTCCTCCATTTTGACAAACGATGCATGACGCTGAAGATAAAATCATGAAAACATTTTGCATATTATGTGGTGAATACATTTCGAATGCTGGTGTTTTTTGTCACGATACGATTGGACATCAGCGCAGATTCTTATAGTGATTTTCAATTTATACTTTTGGCTATTAAAACAACATAACTAAAATCCCATTGAGCAGCAGTTCTCAACGTTTCTGTAAACAAAAAATAATACATTTTTTTTTATTTTACCAGGTAAGGCCCACTGAGCTTTCTAGCTCTTTTTCAGAAGTGACCTGGACACAAATGATAGATGAACAATGTAGCTGAACCTTTTCGAAATTTATTTCAGCCAAATACTCTAAACGCATGTTTCCAAATGTGGAGGGAAAAGCCGGAGGACCCGGGGATAAATCCACTTGACCACGGGGAGAACATGCAAATTCCAAATATACAGCAGGCGTCAGGGTCAGAATAGAACCGACAACCTCCTGCATACCAGGCGAGGTAGTTAACATCTGGCCACCGTGACACCCACTGTACCCAGGGAATCACTGTACGACCCTCACATGTTTTTCCTTCGTAATCTGAAACAGTTCTGTAGACAACTTCCCAACAGCATTGCAGACCACTGCCATAAGACTATCCACAATGATGCAATGATCTAATGATATTCTCTTTTCAGGAAGCGGGCAATTTTGAAATCGAGTGGACAATTGTTGGGGTTTCAAGTGTGCAGTCATTGGCTGGTTTTGGCCAAAACAAAAAAAGAATCAACTTAATGCCTGTAATTTACTGCATTTACCCATGAAAGCCAACTGTAATCCAAGTGAGTTAAACGAAAATAGGCCTTTCCCATACAAAGGTGGATTGATGCTGTTGGATTTGTAATGCGTGACACAGGGGATGATATTATATCTTCTGTGTACGGTATTGCAATTATGATGAACATTGAAGCTGTAAATATGGCTAATAAACAATATTGTCTCTTAACATTGTGTGGGCTATTGGGATAGAATTGGAGTGAGTGAGATTATTACTGTACCTGGTAAAGTGGTTGTTGTAATTTTGGGAGTTGACCTTAAAGTAGATGTTGATGTAGTAGGTGTAGAACCATTCGATGATGTCGATGTTAAGGAAGTAGATAGTCCTGATATTGTTGTTGATGAAGTAGACATTGGTTGTGATGTTGATACTGATGATGGAGATGCTGTGCTGTGTGAAACGGTTGATACTGTTGATGGTCCAAGTGCAATAGATGTTGTATGGGATATTGTTGAGGTTGTTGATGTTACACCCTGTGAAGCTGTTGATGACACCACGGTTGAGGATGTCGACAGAGTAAGCGTGGTTCTTTGGGAGCCTGTGAATGGGGTTGTAGTATCTGATGATACTGTTGAGCCTGTTGATGTTACACCGTGTGATGCTGTTGATGACACTTCTTTTGAGGATGTCGACAGAGTAACTGTGGTTCCTTGGGAGCCTGTGAATGGGGTTGTGGTGGATGGTGATCCTGTCCATCCAGTTGTTGTTGTACCTTGCGATAAAGTTGTCAAGGATGAAAGAGTTGGCATTGACTCATATGGAACTGACGTCGTTAAACTCTCTTGTGGCAACGTGTAAGGCAATGATGGTGACGCTTGTGAAGATGTCGATGCTGTCCACGGTGATGTTGATGGTCTGGTTGCACTTGAGGTTTGGGATATTGGGGATAATGTTGCGCCTGTTGATGTTACACCCTGTGATGCTGTTGATGACGCTCCTGTTGAGGATGTTGACAGGGTAAGTGTGGTTCCTTGGGAGCCTGTGAATGTGGTTGTGGTGTCTGTTGATCCTGTCCATCCGGTTGTGGTTGTACCTTGTGATAAAGTTGTCAAGGATGAAAGAGTTGGCGTTGACTCATTTGGAACTGTTGTTAAACTATCATGTGGCAATGTCAAAGGTAATGATGATGAAGCTTGTGAAGACGTCGATGCTGTCAACGGTGATGTTGATGGCACGGTTGCACTTGAGGTTTGGGATATTGGGGATAATATTGTGCCTGTTGATGTTACACCCTTTGATGCTGTTGGTGACACCTCTGTTGAGGATGTCGACAGAGTAAGCGTGGTTCCTTGGGAGCCTGTGAATGGGGTTGTGGTGGATGGTGATTCTGTCGTTCCGGTTGTTGTTGTACCTTGCGATAAAGTTGTCAAGGATGAAAGAGTTGGCGTTGACTCATATGGAACTGACGTTGTTAAACTCTCTTGTGGCAACGTGTAAGGCAATGATGGTGACGCTTGTGAAGATGTCGATGCTGTCCACGGTGATGTTGATGGTCTGGTTGCGTTTGAGGTTTGGGATATTGGTGATACTGTTGCGCCTGTTGATGTTACACCATGTGATGCTGTTGATGACACTTCTGTTGAGGATGTTGCTAGGGTAAGTGTGGTTCCTTTGGAGCCTGTAAATGGGGTTGTGGCGTCTGATGATACTGTTGAGTCTGTTGATGTTACACCCTGTGATGCTGTTGGTGACACCTCTGTTGAGGATGTCGACAGAGTAAGTGTGGTTCCTTGGGAGCCTGTGAATGCGGTTGTAGTGGATGGTGATTCTGTCGTTCCGGTTGTTGTTGTACCTTGCGATAAAGTTGTCAAGGATGAAAGAGTTGGCGTTGACTCATATGGAACTGACGTTGTTAAACTCTCTTGTGGCAACGTGAAAGGCAATGATGGTGACGCTTGTGAAGATGTCGATGCTGTCCACGGTGATGTTGATGGTCTGGTTGCACTTGAGGTTTGGGATATTGGGGATAATGTTGCGCCTGTTGATGTTACACCCTGTGATGCTGTTGATGGCACTTCTGTTGAGGATGTCGACAAGGTAAGTGTGGTTCCTTGGGAGCCTGTGAATGGGGTTGTGGTGTCTGATGATACTGTTGAGCCTGTTGATGTTACACCCTGTGATGCTGTTGGTGACACCTCTGTTGAGGATGTTGACAGGGTAAGTGTGGTTCCTTGGGAGCCTGTGAATGTGGTTGTGGTGTCTGTTGATCTTGTCCATACGGTTGGGTTGTACCTTGCGATAAAGTTGTCAAGGATGAAGAGTTGGCGTTGACTCATTTGGAACTGTTGTTATAGTCTCTTGTGCAATGTCAAAGGTAATGATGATGACGCTTTGTGAAGATGGGAATGCTGTCAACGGTGATGTTGATGGTACGGTTGCACTTGATGTTTGGGATATTGGTGATACTGTTGCGCCTGTTGATGTTACACCCTGTGATGCTGTTGGTGACACCTCTGTTGAGGATGTCGACAGAGTAAGTGTGGTTCCTTGGGAGCCTGTGAATGCGGTTGTAGTGGATGGTGATTCTGTCGTTCCGGTTGTTGTTGTACCTTGCGATAAAGTTGTCAAGGATGAAAGAGATGGCGTTGACTCATATGGAACTGACGTTGTTAAACTCTCTTGTGGCAACGTGAAAGGCAATGATGGTGACGCTTGTGAAGATGTCGATGCTGTCCACGGTGATGTTGATGGTCTGGTTGCACTTGAGGTTTGGGATATTGGGATAATGTGTGCCTGTTGATGTTACACCCTGTGATGCTGTTGATGGCACTTCTGTTGAGGATGTCGACAAGGTAATTGTGTTCCTTGGGAGCCTGTGAATGGGGTTGTGGTGTGATGATACTGTTGAGCCTGTTGATGTTACACCCTGTGATGCTGTTGGTGACACCTCTGTTGAGGATGTTGACAGGGTAAGTGTGGTTCCATGGGAGCCTGTGAATGTGGTTGTGGTGTCTGTTGATCCTGTCCATACGTTTGTGGTTGTACCTTGCGATAAAGTGGTCAAGGATGAAAGAGTTGGCGTTGACTCATTTGGAACTGTTGTTATAGTCTCTTGTGGCAATGTCAAAGGTAATGATGATGACGCTTGTGAAGATGGGAATGCTGTCAATGGTGATGTTGATGGTACGGTTGTACTTGATGTTTGGGATATTGGTGATACTGTTGCGCCTGTTGATGTTACACCCTGTGATGCTGTTGGTGACACCTCGGTTGAGGATGTCGACAAAGTAAGTGGTTCCTTGGGAGCCAGTGAATGTGGTTGTAGTGGATGGTGATTCTGTCGTTCCGGTTGTTGTTGTACCTTGCGATAAAGTTGTCAAGGATGAAAGAGTTGGCGTTGACTCATATGGAACTGACGTTGTTAAACTCTCTTGTGGCAACGTGAAAGGCAATGATGGTGACGCTTGTGAAGATGTCGATGCTGTCCACGGTGATGTTGATGGTCTGGTTGCACTTGAGGTTTGGGATATTGGGGATAATGTTGCGCCTGTTGATGTTACACCCTGTGATGCTGTTGATGGCACTTCTGTTGAGGATGTCGACAAGGTAAGTGTGGTTCCTTGGGAGCCTGTGAATGGAGTTGTGGTGTCTGATGATACTGTTGAGCCTGTTGATGTTACACCTGTGATGTTGGTGACACCTCTGTTGAGGATGTTGACAGGGTAAGTGTGGTTCCTTGGGAGCCTGTGAATGTGGTTGTGGTGTCTGTTGATCCTGTCCATACGGTTGCGGTTGTACCTTGCGATAAATGGTCAAGGATGAAAGAGTTGGCGTGACTCATTTGGAACTGTTGTTATAGTCTCTTGTGGCAATGTCAAAGGTAATGATGATGACGCTTGTGAAGATGGAATGCTGTCAACGTGTGATGTTGATGGTACGGTTGCACTTGATGTTTGGGATATTGGTGATACTGTTGCGCCTGTTGATGTTACACCCTGTAATGCTGTTGGGACACCTCTGTTGAGGATGTCGACAGAGTAATGTGTGGTTCCTTGGGAGCCTGTGAATGCGGTTGTAGTGGATGGTAATTCTGTCGTCCGGTTGTTGTTGTACCTTGCGATAAAGTTGTCAAGGATGAAAGAGGTGGCCGTTGACTCATATGGAACTGACGTTGTTAAACTCTCTTGTGGCAACGTTGAAAGGCAATGATGGTGACGCTTGTGAAGATGTCGATGCTGTCCTACGGTGATGTTGATGGTCTGGTTGCACTTGAGGTTTTGGGCTATTGGGGCTAATGTTGCGCCTGTAGAGTTACACCCTGTGATGCTGTGATGGCACTTCTGTTTGAGGATGTCGACAAGGTAAGGTGGTTCCTTGGGAGCCTGTGAATGGGGTTGTGGTGTCTGATGATACTGTTGAGCCTGTTGATGTTACACCTGTGATGCTGTTGGTGGACACCTCTGTTGAGGATGTTGACAGGGTAAGTGTGGTTCCTTGGGAGCCTGTGAATGTGGTTGTGGTGTCTGTTGATCTTGTCCATACGGTTGTGGTTGTACCTTGCGATAAAGTTGTCAAGGATGAAAGAGTTGGCGTTGACTCATTTGGAACTGTTGTTATAGTCTCTTGTGGCAATGTCAAAGGTAATGATGATGACGCTTGTGAAGATGGGAATGCTGTCAACGGTGATGTTGATGGTACAGTTGCACTTGATGTTTGGGATATTGGTGATACTGTTGCGCCTGTTGATGTTACACCCTGTGATGCTGTTGGTGACACCTCTGTTGAGGATGTTGACAGGGTAAGTGTGGTTCCTTGGGAGCCTGTGAATGTGGTTGTGGTGTCTGTTGATCCTGTCCATACGGTTGTGGTTGTACCTTGCGATAAAGTTGTCAAGGATGAAAGAGGTGGCGTTGACTCATATGGAACTGACGTTGTTAAACTCTCTTGTGGCAACGTGAAAGGCAATGATGGTGACGCTTGTGAATATATCGATGCTGTCCACGGTGATGTTGATGGTCTGGTTGCACTTGAGGTTTGGGATATTGGTGATAATGTTGCGCCTGTTGATGTTACACCCTGTGATGCTGTTGGTGACACCTCTGTTGAGGATGTCGACAGAGTAAGCGTGGTGCCTTGGGAGTTGGTGAATGAGGTTGTGGTGTCTGTTGATCCTGTCCATCCGGTTGTGGTTGTACCTTGCGATAAAGTTGTCAAGGATGAAAGAGTTAGCGCTGACTCATTTGGAACTGTTGTTAAAGTCTCTTGTGGCAATGTCAAAGGTAATGATGATGACGCTTGTGAAGACGTCAATGCTGTCAATGGTGAGGTTGATGGTACGGCTGCACTTGAGGTTTGGAATATTGGTGATACTGTTGTGCCTGTTGCTGTTACACCCTGTGATGCTGTTGGTAACACTTCTGTTGAGGATGTTGACAAGGTAAGTGTGGTTGCTTGGGAACCTGTGAATGCGGTTGTAGCATTTGGTGAAACTGTTGTCTCTGAAGATGTTGATGGAATATTTGACTGTGTAGTAGCTGCTTTTGTTGTGATAAACAATGTTACACTTTCAGTTGCCAATGTGGATATAATTGAAGTTGTTTCAGCAGCTGTGGACGGAACAGAAGTCCCTGCAGATGTAGTTGATTCCGTTTGAGTTACTGTGGTAGATTCCGATGAAGATGTGGTTGGTATAACTTGTGAGGAGGACGGAATATCAGATGTAGATGTAATTAGTGTCGTGTCTCCTAATGTGGACCCAACTGGAGTAGAGGAAATGATATCTGTAGTTTCTGATGATGGTGAAGAAGGGATATATGTTGCGGTAGAAGATGCAATTGGTGTTGATTCAACAAATGTAGTCGATGGATCTTCTGAAGTTGAGGAAAATTGTGTTATCTCTGAAGATGTGGATGGAATATTTGACTGAGTCGTTTCCAGTGGTGTTGTGACGAACAATGTTGTACTTTCAGTTGTCAATGTGGATACTATTGAAGTTGTTTCAGCAGCTGTGGATGGAACAGAAGTCCATAGAGTTGTAGTAGGTTCCGTTTGAGTTACTGTTGTGAATTCCAATGAAGTTGTGGTTGGTATAACTTGCGTGGAGGATGGAATATCAGATGTAGACGTAATTTGTGTCGTGTCTCCTAATGTGGACCCAACACGAGTTGAGGAAATAATATCTGTAGTTTCTGATGATGGTGTGGAAGGGATATTTGATGTGGTAGCAGATGCAATTGGTGTTGATTCAGCAAATGTAGTCGATGGAACTCCTGAAGATGATGAAAATTGTGTTGTCTCTGAAGATGTGGATGGAATGTTTGACTGAGTCGTTTCCAGTGGTGTTGTGACGAACAATGTTGTACTTTCAGTTGCCAATGTGGATACTATTGAAGTTGTTTCAGCAGCTGTGGATGGAACAGAAGTCCATAGAGTTGTAGTAGGTTCCGTTTGAGTTACTGTTGTGGATTCCAATGAAGTTGTGGTTGCTATAACCTGTGAGGAGGACAGAATATCAGATGTAGACGTAATTTGTGTCGTGTCTCCTAATGTGGACCCAACAGGAGTAGAGGAAGCAATTTCTGTAGTTTCTGATGATGGTGAGGAAGGGATATTTGATGTGGTAGCAGATGCAATTGGTGTTGATTCAACAGATGTAGTTGATGGATCTTCTGAAGTTGAGGAAAATTGTGTTGTCTCTGAAGATGTGGATGGAATATTTGACTGAGTCGTTTCCAGTGGTGTTGTGACGAACAATGTTGTCCTTTCAGTTGCCAATGTGGACACTTTTGAAGTTGATTCAGCAGCTGTGGATGGAACAGAAGTCCATAGAGATGTAGTAGATTCCGTTTGAGTTACTGTTGTGGATTCCAATGAAGTTGTGGTTGGTATAACGTGTGAGGAGGACGGAATATCAGATGTAGATGTAATTAGTGTCGTGTCTCCTAATATGGACCCAACAGGAGTAGAGGAAGCCATTTCTGTAGTTTCTGATGATGGTGTGGAAGGGATATTTGATGCTGTAGAAGATGCAATTGGTGTTGATTCAGCAGATGTAGTCGATGGAACTCCTGAAGATGATGAAAATTGTGTTGTCTCTGAAGATGTGGATGGAATGTTTGACTGAGTCGTTTCCAGTGGTGTTGTGACGAACAATGTTGTACTTTCAGTTGCCAATGTGGACACTATTGAAGTTGTTTCAGCAGCTGTGGATGGAACAGAAGTCCATAGAGATGTAGTAGATTCCGTTTGAGTTACTGTTGTGGATTCCAATGAAATTGTGGTTGGTATAACTTGCGTGGAGGATGGAATATCAGTTGTAGACGTAATTTGTGTCGTGTCTCCTAATGTGGACCCAACACGAGTTGAGGAAATAATATCTGTAGTATCTGATGATGGTGTGGAAGGGATGTTTGACAGGGTAGAAGAGGCAATTGGTGTTGATTCAGCAGATGTAGTCGATGGAATTTCTGAAGATGAGGATAATTGTGTTGTCTCTGAAGATGTTGATGGAATATTTGACTGAGTCGTTTCCGGTGGTGTTGTGATGAAAAATGGTGTACTTTCAGTTGCCAATGTGGACACTATTGAAGTTGTTTCAGCAGCTGTGGATGGAACAGAAGTCCATAGAGATATAGTAGATTCCGTTTGAGGTACTGTGGTGGATTCCGATGAAGTTGTGGTTGGTGTAATTTGTGAGGAGGACGGAATATCAGATGTAGACGTAATTTGTGTCGTGTCTCCTAATGTGGAACCAACAGGAGTAGAGGAAGTCATTTCTGTAGTTTCTGATGATGGTGTGGAAGGGATATTTGATAGGGTAGAAGAGGCAATTGCTGTTGATTCAGCAGATGTAGTCGATGGATCTTGTGAAGTTGAGGAAAATTGTGCTGTCTCTGAAGATGTGGATGGAATATTTGACTGAGTCGTTTCCAGTGGTGTTGTGACGAAGAATGTTGTACTTTCAGTTGCCAATGTGGACACTTTTGAAGTTGATTCAGCAGCTGTGGATAGAATAGAAGTCCATAGAGATGTAGTAGATTCCGTTTGAGTTACTGTTGTGGATTCCAATGAAATTGTGGTTGGTATAACTTGCGTGGAGGATGGAATATCAGATGTAGACGTTATTTGTGTTGTGTCTCCTAATGTGGACCCAACAGAAGTAGAGGAAGTCATTTCTGTAGTTTCTGATGATGGTGTGGAAGGGAAATTTAACAGGGTAGAAGAGGCAATTGGTGTTGATTCAGCAGATGTAGTCGATGGAATTTCTGAAGTTGAGGATAATTGTGTTGTCTCTGAAGATGTTGATGGAATATTTGACTGAGTCGTTTCCGGTGGTGTTGTGATGAAAAATGGTGTACTTTCAGTTGCCAATGTGGACACTATTGAATTCGTTTCAGCAGCTGTGGATGGAACAGAAGTCCATAGAGATGTAGTAGATTCCGTTTGAGTTACTGTTGTGGATTCCAATGAAGTTGTGGTTGGTATAACTTGCGTGGAGGATGGAATATCAGATGTAGACGTAATTTGTGTCGTGTTCCCTAATGTGGACCCAACAGGAGTAGAGGAAGCCATTTCTGTAGTTTCTGATGATGGTGTGGAAGGGAAATTTGACAGGGTAGAAGAGGCAATTGGTGTTGATTCAGCAGATGTAGTCGATGGAATTTCTGAAGTTGAGGATAATTGTGTTGTCTCTGAAGATGTGGATGGAATATTTGACTGAGTCGTTTCCAGTGGTGTTGTGACGAACAATGTTGTACTTTCAGTTGCCAATGTGGACACTATTGAAGTTGTTTCAGCTGCTGTGGATGGAACAGAAGTCCATAGAGATGTAGTAGATTCCGTTTGAGTTACTGTTGTGGATTCCAATGAAGTTGTGGTTGGTATAACTTGCGTGGAGGATGGAATATCAGATGTAGACGTAATTTGTGTCGTGTCTCCTAATGTGGACCCAACAGGAGTAGAGGAAGCCATTTCTGTAGTTTCTGATGATGGTGTGGAAGGGATATTTGATGCTGTAGAAGATGCAATTGGTGTTGATTCAGCAAATGTAGTCGATGGATCTTCTGAAGTTGAGGAAAATTGTGTTGTCTCTGAAGATGTGGATGGAATATTTGACTGAGTCGTTTCCAGTGGTGTTGTGACGAACAATGTTGTACTTTCAGTTGCCAATGTGGACACTTTTGAAGTTGATTCAGCAGCTGTGGATGGAACAGAAGTCCATAGAGATGTAGTAGATTCCGTTTGAGTTACTGTTGTGGATTCCAATGAAGTTGTGGTTGGTATAACGTGTGAGGAGGACGGAATATCAGATGTAGATGTAATTTGTGTCGTGTCTCCTAATGTGGAACCAACACGAGTTGAGGAAATAATATCTGTAGTTTCTGATGATGGTGTGGAAGGGATGTTTGACAGGGTAGAAGATGCAATTGGTGTTGATTCAGCAAATGTAGTCGATGGAACACCTGAAGATGATGAAAATTGTGTTGTCTCTGAAGATGTGGATGGAATGTTTGACTGAGTCGTTTCCAGTGGTGTTGTGACGAACAATGTTGTACTTTCAGTTGCCAATGTGGACACTTTTGAAGTTGATTCAGCAGCTGTGGATGGAACAAAAGTCCATAGAGATGTAGTAGATTCCGTTTGAGTTACTGTTGTGGATTCCAATGAAGTTGTGGTTGGTATAACCTGTGAGGAGGACGGAATATCAGATGTAGACGTAATTTGTGTCGTGTCTCCTAATGTGGAACCAACACGAGTTGAGGAAGCCATTTCTGTAGTTTCTGATGATGATGTGGAAGGGATATTTGATGCTGTAGAAGATGCAATTGGTGTTGATTCAGCAAAAGTAGTTGTTGGATCTTCTGAAGTTGAGGAAAATTGTGTTGTCTCTGAAGATGTGGATAGAATATTTGACTGAGTCGTTTCCAGTGGTGTTGTGACGAAATATGTTGTGCTTTCAGTTGCCAATGAGGACACTATTGAAGTTGATTCAGCAGTTGTGGATGGAACAGAAGTCCATAGAGATATAGTAGATTCCGTTTGAGGTACTGTGGTGGATTCCGATGAAGTTGTGGTTGGTGTAATTTGTGAGGAGGACGGAATATCAGATGTAGACGTAATTTGTGTCGTGTCTCCTAATGTGGACCCAACAGGAGTAGAGGAAGCCATTTCTGTAGTTTCTGATGATGGTGTGGAAGGGATGTTCGATGCTGTAGAAGATGGAATTGGTGTTGATTCAGCAAAAGTAGTTGTTGGATCTTCTGAAGTTGAGGAAAATTGTGTTGTCTCTGAAGATGTGGATGGAATATTTGACTGAGTCGTTTCCAGTGGTGTTGTGACGAAATATGTTGTACTTTCAGTTGCCAATGTGGACACTTTTGAAGTTGATTCAGCAGCTGTGGATGGAACAGAAGTCCATAGAGATGTAGTAGAATCCGTTTGAGTTACTGTTGTGGATTCCAATGAAGTTGTGGTTGGTATAACGTGTGAGGAGGACGGAATATCAGATGTAGATGTAATTAGTGTCGTGTCTCCTAATGTGGACCCAACAGGAGTAGAGGAAGCCATTTCTGTAGTTTTCTGATGATGGTGTGGAAGGGATATTTGATGCTGTAGAAGATGCAATTGGTGTTGATTCAGCAGATGTAGTCGATCGAACTCCTGAAGATGATGAAAATTGTGTTGTCTCTGAAGAGGTGGATGGAATGTTTGACTGAGTCGTTTCCAGTGGTGTTGTGACGAACAATGTTGTACTTTCAGTTGCCAATGTGGACACTATTGAAGTTGTTTCAGCAGCTGTGGATGGAACAGAAGTCCATAGAGATGTAGTAGATTCCGTTTGAGTTACTGTTGTGGATTCCAATGAAATTGTGGTTGGTATAACTTGCGTGGAGGATGGAATATCAGATGTAGACGTAATTTGTGTCATGTCTCCTAATGTGGACCCAACACGAGTTGAGGAAATAATATCTGTAGTATCTGATGATGGTGTGGAAGGGATGTTTGACAGGGTAGAAGAGGCAATTGGTGTTGATTCAGCAGATGTAGTCGATGGAATTTCTGAAGATGAGGATAATTGTGTTGTCTCTGAAGATGTTGATGGAATATTTGACTGAGTCGTTTCCGGTGGTGTTGTGATGAAAAATGGTGTACTTTCAGTTGCCAATGTGGACACTATTGAAGTTGTTTCAGCAGCTGTGGATGGAACAGAAGTCCATAGAGATATAGTAGATTCCGTTTGAGGTACTGTGGTGGATTCCGATGAAGTTGTGGTTGGTGTAATTTGTGAGGAGGACAGAATATCAGATGTAGACGTAATTTGTGTCGTGTCTCCTAATGTGGAACCAACAGGAGTAGAGGAAGTCATTTCTGTAGTTTCTGATGATGGTGTGGAAGGGATATTTGATAGGGTAGAAGAGGCAATTGGTGTTGATTCAGCAGATGTAGTCGATGGAATGTCTGAAGTTGAGGAAAATTGTGTTGTCTCTGAAGATGTTGATGGAATATTTGACTGAGTCGTTTCCAGTGGTGTTGTGATGAAAAATGGTGTACTTTCAGTTGCCAATGTGGACACTATTGAAGTTGTTTCAGCAGCTGTGGATGGAACAGAAGTCCATAGAGATGTAGTAGATTCCGTTTGAGTTACTGTTGTGGATTCCAATGAAGTTGTGGTTGGTATAACTTGCGTGGAGGATGGAATAGCAGATGTAGACGTAATTTGTGTCGTGTCCCCTAATGTGGACCCAACAGGAGTAGAGGAAGCCATTTCTGTAGTTTCTGATGATGGTGTGGAAGGGAAATTTGACATGGTAGAAGAGGCAATTGGTGTTGATTCAGCAGATGTAGTCGATGGAATTTCTGAAGTTGAGGATAATTGTGTTGTCTCTGAAGATGTGGATGGAATATTTGACTGAGTCGTTTCCAGTGGTGTTGTGACGAACAATGTTGTACTTTCAGTTGCCAATGTGGACACTATTGAAGTTGTTTCAGCTGCTGTGGATGGAACAGAAGTCCATAGAGATGTAGTAGATTCCGTTTGAGTTACTGTTGTGGATTCCAATGAAGTTGTGGTTGGTATAACTTGCGTGGAGGATGGAATATCTGTTGTAGACGTAATTTGTGTCGTGTCTCCTAATGTGGACCCAACATGAGTAGAGGAAGCCATTTCTGTAGTTTCTGATGATGGTGTGGAAGGGATATTTGATGCTGTAGAAGATGCAATTGGTGTTGATTCAGCAAATGTAGTCGATGGATCTTCTGAAGTTGAGGAAAATTGTGTTGTCTCTGAAGATGTGGATGGAATATTTGACTGAGTCGTTTCCAGTGGTGTTGTGACGAACAATGTTGTACTTTCAGTTGCCAATGTGGACACTTTTGAAGTTGATTCAGCAGCTGTGGATGGAACAGAAGTCCATAGAGATATAGTAGATTCCGTTTGAGTTACTGTTGTGGATTCCAATGAAGTTGTGGTTGGTATAACGTGTGAGGAGGACGGAATATCAGATGTAGATGTAATTGGTGTCGTGTCTCCTAATGTGGAATCAACACGAGTTGAGGAAGCCATTTCTGTAGTTTCTGATGATGGTGTGGAAGGGATATTTGATGCTGTAGAAGATGCAATTGGTGTTGATTCAGCAAAAGTAGTTGTTGGATCTTCTGAAGTTGAGGAAAATTGTGTTGTCTCTGAAGATGTGGCTGGAATATTTGACTGAGTCGTTTCCAGTGGTGTTGTGACGAACAATGTTGTACTTTCAGTTGCCAATGTGGACACTTTTGAAGTTGATTCAGCAGCTGTGGATGGAACAGAAGTCCATAGAGATGTAGTAGATTCCGTTTGAGTTACTGTTGTGGATTCCAATGAAGTTGTGGTTGGTATAACGTGTGAGGAGGACGGAATATCAGATGTAGATGTAATTAGTGTCGTGTCTCCTAATGTGGAACCAACACGAGTTGAGGAAATAATATCTGTAGTTTCTGATGATGGTGTGGAAGGGATGTTTGACAGGGTAGAAGATGCAATTGGTGTTGATTCAGCAAATGTAGTCGATGGAACACCTGAAGATGATGAAAATTGTGTTGTCTCTGAAGATGTGGATGGAATGTTTGACTGAGTCGTTTCCAGTGGTGTTGTGACGAACAATGTTGTACTTTCAGTTGCCAATGTGGACACTTTTGAAGTTGATTCAGCAGCTGTGGATGGAACAAAAGTCCATAGAGATGTAGTAGATTCCGTTTGAGTTACTGTTGTGGATTCCAATGAAGTTGTGGTTGGTATAACCTGTGAGGAGGACGGAATATCAGATGTAGACGTAATTTGTGTCGTGTCTCCTAATGTGGAACCAACACGAGTTGAGGAAGCCATTTCTGTAGTTTCTGATGATGATGTGGAAGGGATATTTGATGCTGTAGAAGATGCAATTGGTGTTGATTCAGCAAAAGTAGTTGTTGGATCTTCTGAAGTTGAGGAAAATTGTGTTGTCTCTGAAGATGTGGATAGAATATTTGACTGAGTCGTTTCCAGTGGTGTTGTGACGAAATATGTTGTGCTTTCAGTTGCCAATGAGGACACTATTGAAGTTGATTCAGCAGTTGTGGATGGAACAGAAGTCGATAGAGATATAGTAGATTCCGTTTGAGGTACTGTGGTGGATTCCGATGAAGTTGTGGTTGGTGTAATTTGTGAGGAGGACGGAATATCAGATGTAGACGTAATTTGTGTCGTGTCTCCTAATGTGGACCCAACAGGAGTAGAGGAAGCCATTTCTGTAGTTTCTGATGATGGTGTGGAAGGGATGTTCGATGCTGTAGAAGATGGAATTGGTGTTGATTCAGCAAAAGTAGTTGTTGGATCTTCTGAAGTTGTGGAAAATTGTGTTGTCTCTGAAGATGTGGATGGAATATTTGACTGAGTCGTTTCCAGTGGTGTTGTGACGAAATATGTTGTACTTTCAGTTGCCAATGTGGACACTTTTGAAGTTGATTCAGCAGCTGTGGATGGAACAGAAGTCCATAGAGATGTAGTAGAATCCGTTTGAGTTACTGTTGTGGATTCCAATGAAGTTGTGGTTGGTATAACGTGTGAGGAGGACGGAATATCAGATGTAGATGTAATTAGTGTCGTGTCTCCTAATGTGGACCCAACAGGAGTAGAGGAAGCCATTTCTGTAGTTTCTGATGATGGTGTGGAAGGGATATTTGATGCTGTAGAAGATGCAATTGGTGTTGATTCAGCAGATGTAGTCGATCGAACTCCTGAAGATGATGAAAATTGTGTTGTCTCTGAAGAGGTGGATGGAATGTTTGACTGAGTCGTTTCCAGTGGTGTTGTGACGAACAATGTTGTACTTTCAGTTGCCAATGTGGACACTATTGAAGTTGTTTCAGCAGCTGTGGATGGAACAGAAGTCCATAGAGATGTAGTAGATTCCGTTTGAGTTACTGTTGTGGATTCCAATGAAATTGTGGTTGGTATAACTTGCGTGGAGGATGGAATATCAGATGTAGACGTAATTTGTGTCATGTCTCCTAATGTGGACCCAACACGAGTTGAGGAAATAATATCTGTAGTATCTGATGATGGTGTGGAAGGGATGTTTGACAGGGTAGAAGAGGCAATTGGTGTTGATTCAGCAGATGTAGTCGATGGAATTTCTGAAGATGAGGATAATTGTGTTGTCTCTGAAGATGTTGATGGAATATTTGACTGAGTCGTTTCCGGTGGTGTTGTGATGAAAAATGGTGTACTTTCAGTTGCCAATGTGGACACTATTGAAGTTGTTTCAGCAGCTGTGGATGGAACAGAAGTCCATAGAGATGTAGTAGATTCCGTTTGAGTTACTGTTGTGGATTCCAATGAAGTTGTGGTTGGTATAACTTGCGTGGAGGATGGAATAGCAGATGTAGACGTAATTTGTGTCGTGTCCCCTAATGTGGACCCAACAGGAGTAGAGGAAGCCATTTCTGTAGTTTCTGATGATGGTGTGGAAGGGAAATTTGACATGGTAGAAGAGGCAATTGGTGTTGATTCAGCAGATGTAGTCGATGGAATTTCTGAAGTTGAGGATAATTGTGTTGTCTCTGAAGATGTGGATGGAATATTTGACTGAGTCGTTTCCAGTGGTGTTGTGACGAACAATGTTGTACTTTCAGTTGCCAATGTGGACACTATTGAAGTTGTTTCAGCTGCTGTGGATGGAACAGAAGTCCATAGAGATGTAGTAGATTCCATTTGAGTTACTGTTGTGGATTCCAATGAAGTTGTGGTTGGTATACCTTGCGTGGAGGATGGAATATCAGATGTAGACGTAATTTGTGTCGTGTCTCCTAATGTGGACCCAACATGAGTAGAGGAAGCCATTTCTGTAGTTTCTGATGATGGTGTGGAAGGGATATTTGATGCTGTAGAAGATGCAATTGGTGTTGATTCAGCAAATGTAGTCGATGGATCTTCTGAAGTTGAGGAAAATTGTGTTGTCTCTGAAGATGTGGATGGAATATTTGACTGAGTCGTTTCCAGTGGTGTTGTGACGAACAATGTTGTACTTTCAGTTGCCAATGTGGACACTTTTGAAGTTGATTCAGCAGCTGTGGATGGAACAGAAGTCCATAGAGATATAGTAGATTCCGTTTGAGTTACTGTTGTGGATTCCAATGAAGTTGTGGTTGGTATAACGTGTGAGGAGGACGGAATATCAGATGTAGATGTAATTGGTGTCGTGTCTCCTAATGTGGAATCAACACGAGTTGAGGAAGCCATTTCTGTAGTTTCTGATGATGGTGTGGAAGGGATATTTGATGCTGTAGAAGATGCAATTGGTGTTGATTCAGCAAAAGTAGTTGTTGGATCTTCTGAAGTTGAGGAAAATTGTGTTGTCTCTGAAGATGTGGCTGGAATATTTGACTGAGTCGTTTCCAGTGGTGTTGTGACGAACAATGTTGTACTTTCAGTTGCCAATGTGGACACTTTTGAAGTTGATTCAGCAGCTGTGGATGGAACAGAAGTCCATAGAGATGTAGTAGATTCCGTTTGAGTTACTGTTGTGGATTCCAATGAAGTTGTGGTTGGTATAACGTGTGAGGAGGACGGAATATCAGATGTAGATGTAATTAGTGTCGTGTCTCCTAATGTGGAACCAACACGAGTTGAGGAAGCCATTTCTGTAGTTTCTGATGATGGTGTGGAAGGGATATTTGATGCTGTAGAAGATGCAATTGGTGTTGATTCAGCAAAAGTAGTTGTTGGATCTTCTGAAGTTGAGGAAAATTGTGTTGTCTCTGAAGATGTGGATGGAATATTTGACTGAGTCGTTTCCAGTGGTGTTGTGACGAAATATGTTGTGCTTTCAGTTGCCAATGAGGACACTATTGAAGTTGGTTCAGCAGCTGTGGATGGAACAGAAGTCCATAGAGATGTAGTAGATTCCGTTTGAGTTACTGTTGTCGATTCCAATGAAGTTGTGGTTGGTATAACTTGCGTGGAGGATGGAATATCAGATGTAGACGTAATTTGTGTCGTGTCTCCTAATGTGGACCCAACAGGAGTAGAGGAAGCCATTTCTGTAGTTTCTGATGATGGTGTGGAAGGGAAATTTGACAGGGTAGAAGAGGCAATTGGTGTTGATTCAGCAGATGTAGTCGATGGAATTTCGGAAGTTGAGGATAATTGTGTTGTCTCTGAAGATGTGGATGGAATATATGACTGAGTCGTTTCCAGTGGTGTTGTGACGAACAATGTTGTACTTTCAGTTGCCAATGTGGACACTATTGAAGTTGTTTCAGCAGCTGTGGATGGAACAGAAGTCCATAGAGATGTAGTAGATCCCGTTTGAGTTACTGTTGTGGATTCCAATGAAGTTGTGGTTGGTATAACTTGCGTGGAGGATGGAATATCAGATGTAGACGTAATTTGTGTCGTGTCTCCTAATGTGGACCCAACAGGAGTAGAGGAATCCATTTCTGTAGTTTCTGATGATGGTGTGGAAGGGATATTTGATGCTGTAGAAGATGCAATTGGTGTTGATTCAGCAAAAGTAGTTGTTGGATCTTTTGAAGTTGAGGAAAATTGTGTTGTCTCTGAAGATGTGGATGGAATATTTGACTGAGTCGTTGTCAGTGGTGTTGTGATGAACAATGTTGTACTTTCAGTTGCCAATGTGGACACTTTTGAAGTTGATTCAGCAGTTGTGGATGGAACAGAAGTCCATAGAGATGTAGTAGATTCCGTTTGAGTTACTGTTGTGGATTCCAATGAAATTGTGGTTGGTATAACTTGCGTGGAGGATGGAATATCAGATGTAGACGTAATTTGTGTCGTGTCTCCTAATGTGGACCCAACAGGAGTAGAGGAAGTCATTTCTGTAGTTTCTGATGATGGTGAGGAAGGGATATTTGACAGGGTAGAAGAGGCAATTGGTGTTGATTCAGCAGATGTAGTCGATGGAATTTCTGAAGTTGAGGAAAATTGTGTTGTCTCTGAAGATGTGGATGGAATATTTGACTGAGTCGTTTCCAGTGGTGTTGTGACGAACAATGTTGTACTTTCAGTTGACAATGTGGACACTTTGGACGTTGATTCAGCAGCTGTGGATTGAACAAAAGTCCATAGAGATGTAGTAGATTCGGTTTGAGTTACTGTTGTGGATTCCAATGAAGTTGTGGTTGGTATAACCTGTGAGGAGGACGGAATATCAGATGTAGATGTAATTAGTGTCGTGTCTCCTAATGTGGACCCAACAGGATTAGAGGAAGTCATTTCTGTAGTTTCTGATGATGGTGTGGAAGGGATATTTGACAGGGTAGAAGAGGCAATTGGTGTTGATTCAGCAAATGTAGTCGATGGATCTTCTAAAGTTGAGGAAAATTGTGTTGTCTCTGAAGATGTGGATGGAATATTTGACTGAGTCGTTTCCAGAGGTGGTGTAACAGACAATGTTGTACTTTCAGTTGCCAATGTGGACACTATTGAAGTTGTTTCAGCAGCTGTGGATGGAAGAGAAGTCCATAGAGATGTAGTAGGTTCCGTTTGAACTACTGTTGCGGATTCCAATGAAGTTGTGGTTGGTATAATTTGCGTGGAGGATGGAATATCAGATGTAGACGTAATTTGTGTCGTGTCTCCTAATGTGGACCCAACACGAGTTGAGGAAATAATATCTGTAGTTTCTGATGATGGTGAGGAAGCGATATTTGACAGGGTAGAAGATGCAATTGGTGTTGATTCAGCAAAAGTAGTTGATGGATCATCTGAAGTGGAGGATAATTGTGTTGTCTCTGAAGATGTTGATGGAATATTTGACTGAGTCGTTTCCAGTGGTGTTGTGACGAAAAATTGTGTACTTTCAGTTGCCAATGTGGACACTTTTGAAATTGTTTCAGCAGCTGTCGATGGTACAGAAGTCCATAGAGATGTAGTAGATTCCGTTTGAGTTGCTGTTGTGGATTCCAATGAAGTTGTGGTTGGTATAACTTGTGAGGAGGATGGAATATCAGATGTAGACGTAATTAGTGTCGTGTCTCCTAATGTGGACCCAACAGGAGTAGGGGAAGCCATGTTTGTAGTTTCTGATGATAGTGTGGAAGGGATATTTGATGCTGTAGAAGATGCAATTGGTGTTGATTCAGCAAATGTAGTCGATGGAACTCCTGAAGATGATGAAAATTGTGTTGTCTCTGAAGATGTGGATGGAATATTTGACTGGGTCGTTTCCAGTGGTGTTGTGACGAACAATGTTGTACTTTCAGTTGCCAATGTGGACACTATTGAAGTTGTTTCAGCAGCTGTGGATGGAACAGAAGTCCATAGAGATGTAGTAGATTCCGTTTGAGTTACTGTTGTGGATTCCAATGAACTTGTGGTTGGTATAACTTGCGTGGAGGATGGAATATCAGATGTAGACGTAATTTGTGTCGTGTCTCCTAATGTGGACCCAACAGGAGTAGAGGAAGCCATTTCTGTAGTTTCTGATGATGGTGTAGAAGGGATATTTGATGCTGAAGAAGATGCAATTGGTGTTGATTCAACCGATGTAGTCGATGGATCTTCTGAAGTTGAAGAAAATTGTGTTGTCTCTGAAGATGTGGATGGAATATTTGACTGAGTCGTTTCCGGTGGTGTTGTAACAGACAATGTTGTACTTTCAGTTGCCAATGTGGACACTATTGAAGTTGTTTCAGCAGCTGTGGATGGAAAAGAAGTCCATAGAGATGAAGTAGATTCCATTTTAGTTACAGTTGTGGATTCCAATGAAGCTGTGGTTGGTATAACTTGTGAGGACAGAATGTCAGATGTAGATATAATTAGTGTCGTGTCTCCTAATGTGGAAACAACACGCGTTGAGGAAATAATATCTGTAGTTTCTGATGATGGTGAGGAAGCGATATTTGACAAGCTAGAAGATGCAATTGCTGTTGATTTAGCAAAAGTAGTCGATTGAACATCTGAAGTTGAGGAAAATTGTGTTGTATCTGAAGATCTTGATGGAATATTTGACTGAGTCGTTTCCAGTGGTGTTGTGACGAAAAATGGTGTACTTTCAGTTGCCAATGTTGACACTATTGAAGTTGTTTCAGCAGCTGTGGATGGTACAGAAGTCCATAGAGATGTAGTAGATTCCGTTTGAGTTACTGTTGTGGATTCCAATGAAATTGTGGTTGGTATAACTTGCGTGGAGGATGGAATATCAGATGTAGACGTAATTTGTGTCGTGTCTCCTAATGTGGACCCAACAGGAGTTGAGGAAGCCATTCCTGTAGTTTCTGATGATGGTGTGGAAGGGAAATTTGATGCTGTAGAAGATGAAATTGGTGTTGATTCAGCAAATGTAGTCGATGGATCTTCTGAAGTTGAGGAAAATTGTGTTGTCTCTGAAGATGTGGATGGAATAATTGACTGAGTCGTTTCCAGTGGTGTAGTGACGAACAATGTTGTACTTTCCGTTGCTAACGTGGACACTATTGAAGTTGTTTCAGCAGCTGTGGATGGAACAGAAGTCCATGGAGATGTATTAGATTCCATTTGAGTTACTGTTGTGGATTCTAATTGAGCTGTGGTTGGTATAACTTGTGAGGAGGATGGAAAATCAGATGTAGACGTAAATTGTGACGTGTCTACGAATGTGGACCCAACAGGAGTTGTGGAAATAATATCTGTAGTTTTTGATGATGGTGAGGAAGCGATATTTGACAGGGTAGAAAATGCAATTGCTGTTGATTCAGCAAAAGTAGTCGATGGAACGTCTGAAGTTGAAGAAAATTGTGTTGTCTCTGAAGATGTGGATGGAATAATTGACTGAGTCGTTTCCAGTGGTGTTGTCACAAACAATGTTGTACTTTCAGATGCCAATGTGGACACTATTGCAGTTGTTTCAGCAGCTGTGGATAGAACAGAAGTCCATAGAGACGTAGTAGATTCCGTTTGAGTTACTGTTGTGGATTCCCATGAAATTGTGGTTGGTATAACTTGCGTGGCGGATGGAATATCAGATGTAGATGTAATTTGTGTCGTGTCTCCTAATGTGGACCAAACAGGAGTAGAGGAAGTCATTTCTGTAGTTTCTGATGATGGTGTGGAAGGGATATTTGATGCTGTAGAAGATGTAATTGCTGTTGATTCAGCAGATGTAGTTGATGGAACTTCTGAAGTTGAGGAAAATTGTGTTGTCTCTGAAGATGTTGATGAAATATTTGACAGTGTAGTGGCTACTGGTGTTGTGACAAACAATGTTGTACTTTCCGTTGCCAATGTGGACACTAATGAAGTTGTTTCAGCAGCTGTGGAAGGAACATAAGTCCATGGAGATGTAGTAGATTCAGTTTGAGTTACTGTTGTGGATTCTATTGAAGTTGTGTTTGGCATAACTTGTGAGGAGGACGGAATATCAGATGTAGACGTAATTTGTGTCGTGTCTCCTAATGTGGACCCAACAGGAGTTGAGGAAATAATATCTGTCATTTCCGATGATGGTGACGAAGCGATATTTAACAGGGTAGAAGATGCAATTGGTCTTGATTCAGCAGATGTAGTTGATGGAACTTCTGAAGTTGAAGAAAATTGTGTTGTCTCTGAAGATGTTGATGCTGTTGATTAGAAAGACGTTTCAAATAAGACTTTCACATTGTGTTTAAAGCTAAAATTACTTGAAAACAGTTGATAAAAAGTGAGTTCTGAACATAACTTTAATTTAATTGGCCCTCATAAATGACAATTTCTGCTTAAAGTTATTCAATGACCCCACATAACCTTTGTTATTCACATCAAACATTTAGATTACAAAGCCCCAACAGTTATTCCAGGATATTCAGGTTAATGACAATATAAATTGGACTTAATTCTGGAATATCTTGTTCGGAGAAACAACGTCATTATTCGTAATCCTTTTCTTCTGAGCCAGCTGCTTTACAAATTGAGCTTTTTTCTACTTTTTAAAAAAAATATTTTTCGCGTGCTCCACACGATTTATCAATGACTCTTGTCCATAATGTAACCATTGCTTTAAGTGATCGCAACCTGATAATGAGACTAAGCGAAGTCTAAATTGATCCAGATTATGCCATATATATTTACAATTTATCTTTTGCAGTGGCCTACACTAATCTAGAAGGACGATTTATTCAAAGATTAGCTGCTATTTCATTTCACCCATTCGTTGTTATAGAAAATAACCTCTAATTTCAGTTAACTGTGGCCCTTACATTAAACAAATCCTGATTATATGTGGATCACAATTTACTGACATGGCATATCATCAATTTAAATAATACAAAAAATGTTACCAAATCATAAAACTCAGGGATTAGCCATTTGCCTTTGTAGAGCTGAATTACTGAATTAAAAATAAACCTTTTTTGCTGAAATTAAACTATTCGTATACACAGACCAAAGCCACAGTCATAAAATCTAAATAAATATGTTTTACAGTCACCAATTTACAATATTTATTGTAAAAGAAAAGAACAGATATTAGACACTGAAATTTGTTGTTTAAGTTCTGTCCCAAATGCATAACTTTAGACAAATGAAAAAAAGGCCCAATCAGACTCATCTTTGAGGATTGTATCTCATTTTAATTTCACAAATATTGAAGTTCAATAAAAGTTTTTAAAAATTCACATATGCGCATTGTGATTTCATGAAAAAATTCACGTAATTACAAGCTAAGCAGCATATAAAAGTAACCTTCATCACAATCTCTTGTTTTTTGCAATACAAATTTAAGAAACCTCTGCTCAGTCAGTGCTTGGCCAGGTATTGATCACGTTTAAGCGTTATGGCTTGAGCAGTGACGTAATAACAACATACGTATGAGCAGTAAACATTCAATGGTGTTCAATAAATATACGCTATATATTAAAGAGTGAAAATGTAATACTAAATTGAGTGAAATTGATTATTCGTTATCAGCTTGTGTGCAGGTGCTAAGAGGATTGTTACATCATATAACTGGAAGAGATTGTGATAACTTAGGGTCGGGGATGATGATAATGGCAGTGGAGTATATGCTCCTTATGGCGGTACCCCGGGGTACCAAATCATACAAAATAGGCCGAGGCAATTAAATATAATATTTCTGGGACACAATTTTTTCCAGGGGTGTACTGAACTCCGCGACTGGGGTACCAATTAATCCGAAACCAGTGCTACTCCGCGATGTCGAAACGTCAAACAGCATAAAAATCCGTTCTCGGAAAATTCAACTTTGAATAGTGCATCGTGTACAGCTCGTCGAGATGAGTCGATTGCCGCATCGCTGAACATAAACGGACTGAAAATGACTGCATCACGGACATTATGCGAGAGCCGGGGCACGATGGTACCCCGGGGTACCGCCATAAGGTTCATATACTCCACTGCCATTATCATCATCCCCGTCCCTAAGTTATCACAATCTCTTCAAGTTCTATGATGTAACAATCCTCTTAGTGCAAGCGTTCTAGAGTTGTTACAGTTATTTTTTTGACAACTTCACATTGTATATCCAACTCCAAATAGTAACATTGTAGACTTAAAACTTTCGGGACTGCATGGAATTCTTATTTCTTGGATCTTTCGGTAAAGTCATGTAGATAGATAACAAAAATCAAAATGAAAGGCAAAAAACCCACGACGTTTCGATCGCGGTTTTCTCTAAAGGGCCATGAAAGTTCGTTCTCACTATATATTTAGTTACATGTTAAAGACATTGCTGGTGATACCCTTTTTAAACTCTACATAACATTTGCATGACCATGAATGATGAATATGCAGATATATACTTGACAATGACACTGAGATTCATAAATACACTCATAGCGTAGCTCTGAATAGCTTAGACCCTGTTTTCCATTATGCCTTGCTGTTCTGTTCTAATCAAGGGTTGCTTTGTTTATCATTGTGAGCCTAATCTAAAGCAGGTAACCTCTATCCCAGTGGGTAATTCTACAGCAGCACTTAACTGGAGCCGCACAAACCATTGAAGATGCATATACCTAATGTACTAGTGGAAAATAAAATACTTTACTGTTTGCAACTGCGGCTACGGACATTAAATGATGAACCATATAACTTCGCACCTCCCCCAAAAATAAATTTGAAGGCAATGCACGAGCAATTCACCGACTCTCAAAGCAACTGATGGCTAAATCACTCAGAACTAAATCTAAAATCGTTGCTCTGCATTGGCCATACACGATTCCTGTGTTTGATCTACCACGAAGCTCATGGTCCACCATAAATCGCATCCACTGCACAAACCATGGCAGACGCGGATACCTGATGCACAAATGGGAATGTCAAAACTCTCTGGCAGTCTGCGACTGTGGTCATCCAGAACAGACCACATACAACGTATAACGACGCAATGCCCCGATCCACAAATACGAAGGAGACATAACAGCGATATACACTCCGCTGTTCCTGATGCGGTTATCTGGCTTGATCGCCTGCAAGTTAAATCGTAGTTGTTGCTCTCCATCTACATCAGCCATGCGAAAGAAAAAGAAGGCCATACAAAATGATCATCTGTAAAATATGCATGGTCTAAATGTGACTGCATTTCAAGATGTAGAAAACCGTGAGCTCTCTCTTATATTTAATCGTTTTTCTTATACTAAATGTCTATTCTTGTCATTTTATATTAACTAAAATTCGATTTCCAGTGCGCAAACATTTCACACCAGGTTCGGGGAAAACCATCCGGTGTCCCTTTTGTAGTTCACTTCAGTTTCCACTAAAAATTTATCCCGTGTGAAAAACCAAAAGTATTTATTTTTTAAGTTTGAGTGCACTATATTCTTGGCTCTTTCGGTAAAGTCACGTAGAAGGGAAACAATAAAACAATATAAAACATGTTTCATATATATTTTAATTGTTTTATTGTTTCCCTTCTACGTGACTTTACCGAAAGAACCAAGAATATGAATCCCTGCAGTCACGAAAGCTTTAAATCAAAATTTGAGTGCACTATTTAATCACATGTCTATCTCATATAATTTGTGTGTGCACCTTGTTTTATGATCGCATTTTATAAGCATTATTTAATAAATTATGTGAATGTATTTTTAATGTTTCTGATATGTATTCCATAGTTTTACTCTTAAATTTAAATCAGACTTATCTTTGATATTAAATTCTGGTTTAGCTCTAAATGTCAGAACTACATTGTACTGCTGCTATCTTTTGACCCAGGCCACTTGTTGCCTCATCTTATGAAATAAAGTCGCTGATGATGGGCATATTGTTAATATAGGTTATCTACACAAATGTACATATACAGTACGCAACATTTACAATTATCAACCTAATCATTTGTGATTAATCCACTGCTGGATGAAGGCCTCCCTAAGCCTTTGCCACCCCTCACAATCATCCAATGTGACGATTCATCTCACACCCACTCGCGCGCTGAATTCATTGATCCATCTCTTCTGTGTGTCCTCTCCTTTAGATGATACACCATCATTAGTCTAGACCACCAGCCATCATCCATTTTTAGCACATGTCCCTGCTCAAGCCAACTTACTTATATGATATTGACCGTAATTTGTTTTACCCTTTTTTCTTACTTTTGCAGAGTATGGAAATAAAATTAAGATCAGATTACATGTGGGTGCATATGCCTACATGGTGCGTGACTGCGTATCGCCACCGGCTCTAGCTCCTAAGATTCCTCACGGTGAGCCACATGTCCAGCTCCCTTGCCAGCCCCTGTTCATAGGCTTCTCCATTCATTATTTCCCCGTTCTTTTTCTCCGAATAATGCATTACAAGCTGACCAGTTTCTTCAGTTATTTTATAAAATAATAAATCAACGCTATTCATCTCGCCATTAAATCTGTTCCCACTCCAATTATTTCTCATATCTCTATTTTCAGAACTTTACTTGTCTGCATCTCCGAGCACGGTTCGCACTTCTCCGATTAGCACGTTTGGCTATGCGCGGTTCGAAAGAAGTTCAAAATATGTACACACATACGTCTGAGGTTTCATCACTGGTAGCTAGATCCCGGCGCAATTACTGGCCTCTGGATTATTTTCTTTTGAAGATCATCCATGCCAACTTTCCATTTTTTTACTGTACTTATCACTAATCTTCTTCACAATTCTCCCCATTCCGGTACTGTCCCTTTGATCTTTAAATTTGCTGCTGTTACCCCGCTGCTTAAGAAGCCCTGGCCTTGATCCGTCGCATCTCAAATCTGCCTTATCTCTCCAAGGTCCTAGAGTGTGCAGTCGTCATGCAGCTCCAACACTACTTGCTTGTCAGTGATCTAATAAATCCTTTCATTCTGGTTTCATGCCTCGAGTACGGAAACAGCCCTGGTGAAGGTTATGAATTATGTGTTGGTTGCTGCAAATACAGGCCTACCTAGCATTCTTGTCCATTGGGAATTGAGTGCTTAGTTTGACACTGTCGATCATCCCCGTCCTGCTCGAGCGATCGGGAGGCTGCATGGGGATTTCTGGCATTGCCTTCCACTGGTTCACTTTCCACCTTTTTGATCGAAAGCAGTTTGTCAGCCTTGGAGGGCAATGATCTGAACCACGTTCTGTTCCCTTTGGTGTGCCTCAGGACTTTCTCATCGGCCCACTGCTGTTTAGTTTAATTATATATGACCCCACTTGGCCATATGTTGCGCAAACTCGGTCTTAGCTTCCATTGTCATGCTGATGACATTCAAATTTACATCCCCAATCCAAAGACACTAAAAAAATAAAATGTCTTTTCATCTCGGAAAGCCTCTCTGAGTTTCAGGAAACGTTTGCCGGGGGTCTTGCTACATTTGGGTGTTTGGCCAATTACATGAACGAGAGTGTGGGCCTGTGGCAAGCAACCAGCGTGCCCGAGAGAAACCCCATACACATGCAAGCACCGCTTAACATGCAAAGATCCACACAGTGAGATTCAATCAACAGTTGTGCAGCCACCTCCTGGCCATCAAAGACCCCAAGCCTACAACATCTGGTAGTCGGTGGCTTTCTTTCATTCAAATAATAAATGTAAATCTCGTCATTCATACAATTGCCTCTTAAAACGTTGTACAATATTTGCAGAAAGAAGGGACTAATCCTCGAACAAGGTTTGCTAAGGGGCCGTCATTAAATGACGTCACGCGATTTTGGACGATTTTTGACCCCCCCCCCCCAAAAAAAAGCTTAAAATCGCTTTAAACTATTGTCATTGTATTGCGTATTTAATGTGCTGCTGCACTCTGATGTTGTAGAAGAAAACATTTACTAAAAAGTCTATTTAATTAAATAGAACGTATTGTCTATATTTATTTTAAGTTGCGCATTTTGATGTGGCGTCACATTTCTCAACAGAAATATATAGAATAAAAAAATCACCAAAAGGTACTGTATGCAAACAAATGAATACATACAAGCAGGGTCTCAATTATAGAACAATAATATACAGAGTATCGTTATGGCCTACATATTTTTATATACGGGTAAAAAAAACATCCGTAGCTATTTCACTAAAAGTGAGTCGGGAGATCGGAGAGGGGGCCCCAAAGTCGTATCTTGCATGGCGCTGTTGAAACAGGCCGTTGAGTCCACTGCATACAGGACAAAATGATTTTTGTTATCATGTTGACCTGGGCGAACTCTCAGCTCCTACACCAGCCATGAGCGTCAAATCCATTGAGCGACGCCCCACGCAAGCCAAAAAAGTTAGTTTAACACGTAGGCTTTCGTGACCAATATTATCCATGATAACGTTTTTTGAGTTAGATTGCGTAAATGTGTCGTTAAACCTGCCACCACCCGACACAGCCAATTAGTAATGTTTGTCACGTCGGCAACAAATGCCAATTCGTTACCAGTGTTGGAGAGTAAACCCACAACATTTACTATTATGGACGAGCCAAGGCACCTGAGCCAGTAAGTTGCTCACATGTCTAAGAGTGGCAATCGACTTTGACGTCTTCAACCAAATAAAACCCCTGAAGCACTATCTTAGTGATCAAATGGATACAGGTATAAGAGAATGTTTTAACTGAGATTGGAACTATAAAACGGAATTGATCTGACGAGTGTGTCGTGGGAGTGTATTCCGGACTGTGGGAGTTGCGAAAGTCAGCGCTTATCCACCCACACTTTTGCACTTTATGTTGGGTGGAGTGAGCCACTCTAGGCCAGATGAAAGAAGCGGCTCGGGAAAGGGATTAGGTAGAAATAAGAGGGTAACGATAAGCAGGGTCCAGTCCATACAGAATGTTGTAAACAGTAAGTGCGACTTTAAACTTGACTTGAGAGTGAATGGGAAGGCTATGAAGGGAACACAATATGGGGAGTAATGTGATGATGCTTATAACAGCAGCATTTTGAACATACTGAATATGGTGGATGGAAACTCAGGAAGACGATATACGAATGAGAATGACAGTAATGATGATATTAAGACGTGATTTATTGTTTCAGCAGCAGGGTTGGAAACATAATTTGTAATGTGACTCAACCCTGCTGCCTTAATCCTATAATAATTCAAATTTATCATGCGCATTCAATCCTGGGATCCCAATGCACAATGCATGGAAAGCAGGAAACAAAAACAAAACCAGGACAACCGACCAAACTAAAGAGGTAACGTTCAGTTTAAAGAGATGGGTTTTCAAATCAGACTTAAATATGAGATCGGGAACATTCCGGGTAATTTGGTCCCTAGGATAAACGTTTGCCTTTGACTTGTCCGATTTGAGTATTGATATCACAGTTTAAAATGTCTCCAATTTCAAATGACCATTTTGTTGTAATAAAACTCATTATGCGTCGCCCTGGAGCATGCTGCGTTGGAGCAAATATAATCAGAACTCCATGCTGTGCCTCCCAATAAAAATACCTTTTAATGAAAAAGCTTGGCCATAGAAGAAGACCCTGACGATGATGCAGGCAGTAATTAGAATGAAACTGGCACTATTTGGACACACATGTAGGATGGACAACGTGAAAATTACGAGTGTGTTGTTCGGGAAAAAAAGGAGCAGGAAAGAGTAGAGCAGCTAACAGAGAATGGCTCGACGACGACGACATAAGAAGAAGATTGGTACCAGAAAGATGTGGCCACTACTTGAACATGTTGGCACAAGACAGAGGGAAGTGGAAACAAATCACGAAATGTGCAGGGGACACCTACGGGCTACCTGCCCATGAATCGTGATGATGATTGGCTTTCCAGACCAACATCAAGCAGAATTAGTTTAACACACACAAACTCTGGACTGGTCTTGACTTTCTAGATCTCATCAGCAGTCACGGCTTGTTAACCGACATGCTGCCTGATTATGGCTCTCTATTCAACGCTAAAGGCAATGCCATAACACAAACGGAGTATGCGTTGCTATGGAAAATTATGGGTACATGCAAATATAAACAACACTCTATGTCTACACATAGCACAAATTTATTCCATAAGGCTCCCGAATTTCCAGAACAATATTACCAAGCAGCATTTTTTTAAAGCAAGGAAACACTGGACCGGTTTTGACATTTTGGGTCTGTATGTACAGTATGTACAGTACGACAAACATGTAGTTTAATAATGGAGTATTGTAAGATGTGTTGTCTGTGCAGATTATTTAATTCGATGAAGTATGATAGGTAACGCCTTTGCACTGATTCACTACACTGCCCATAATATCAAATGTATGTATGCAGAACTTGTTTCGCACACTACGCAGCCAAACATGCTTAGCAGTCAGGATTTGCAGTCAGGATCGTTGCATTACCAGATGTCATTGGAAACCCTGAAGCAAGATTTATAAAGGGAAGTAACTAATAGCTTCCGACAGTGGTACTGTAGTCATTGTGCCAACCCTGAAGGGATGATTGGCTTATTCAATGTTCGATCACGATTCGCTTTTCTGAATTCTGATTGTTAAGTCAAGTGATCTGTCAGCCAGATTGTTGCTAAAAGTAGATTGATAATAAACGTAGTAAATTACTGATCATGTTACAAGATCCAATACCAAAATAATCCTACTTTACCAAACCACATCGATTTTCCACCAAATCAGTATTTTTTTAACCTACATTTGCATAACCAAACCGATTTCTATCATAACTCATTAAAAAAAACACATTCATAATATCGTCCTAAATATTCTGGTTAAACGGTTAATATTGCACACGTTGCATACATGCAGCTTTAAGTGCCTCAGGAATCCAAGTAACATTTGCGGCCGACTTACCTGTAGTAGTTGCAGTTTCCATATGTACAACAAGAAGTGTCAATATGATGGCGTTCCTCTTAAGAGGCTGCATCATCGGTTATTTTCTGAGTATATTTTTTGCTGCTTTAAAGGACATTCAGCCCCAATTGAAGGAAGGCCAGAATCTAGTTTTTTTCTTTCCTTTTGCAGAGAGGATTGAAAATCCTGAAGGTTCGGCTGGCCGGTATTCTTGAGGGGAAAATAAAGAAACGCCATGCATTTAGACAGATTACAACAACAATCTACATTAAACACAAATATATGGCAAAAGTAGCGATGGTGATATGAAAATTCGCATTTCTGTTTCACGGAAATCATAAAAAAGCGCTCTCAATGTCCTTCTGATCACCCGTTACTTTGGCAATTATTCTACTTTATCAATAAACTTACATAATACAAAAAATTACGGGATAACAACTTGCTATACATTCCCACTGTAAATATATATTGTTTCCATTTTGGTTACAGATTAATAAATATTAACCAACATCAACATCTATCCTAGAAGTTATACTACATAAACATTACGATTTAATGAATGGAGATAATCTCGCCAGGTTGGCATAGAGCGCATACTTCTAATCATCAACACCATCGATAGCTATTGCGTTCGTTCACACATTGACAAAACTTAACTGTTTTCTCAGCAGCCTCTTCTGATAGTGATGAGGACTGGATACAACTCGGAAAATCTTCGACCCAAGAAGCAAAGGCAATGATTATTTTATCTCAGCCAACCAAAACAGAACACGGAATCGTAATGCTAAATTATACTGCAATTTTTTTACTTTCAAAGGAGAAAAAAAACACTTCCAAGTCGATTTATTAACATGCAGGTGACAGCCTCTTCTTGTGTGACTAAATACTCAAGTGCAACTGCAGTAGGTATATTTAGAACCCTCCTTATATGTGCTACGTCACACTGACGTTTTTTTACCACCTGCAGATTGCACTTCTGCTTACAAAGAAAATTGCAGACACTGCCAGTTAAGTTGCAACACATTTTAAACAAATACTCAATATAGCAATGTTATTTTCTTTGTTAAATTGTCCAACTTTTTTCGTTAACGATAGCAGTTCCACATATTTTACACACTTCAATAGGATATTTAAGGCCAAAATACAACATTACAATGTCGTATTGAGGTTTATGAGTGTAGAATTGCGCTCCGTGAATAGTCAGCATTATCTGCAGTATTTAAGAAATTTAAAACAGTTTAGGCAAAATGTTGCTTTGAACAGATTTGTTATCTTGAATTAAAAATGTGCTCAAATCGCTATGATCATTCCCAAAAGTTTAAAATATTTGTAAATTGAATTAAGTCAAAAGTCTTAGGCATTTTTAAACAGGGTACTGAACTAGGATGGGTAAGTCAATCCTATTCTTAGCTCTTTCGGTAAAGTCACGTTGAAGGGAAGCAATAAAATAATAAAATGTATATAAAACAATAAAAATTCTCACGACGTTTCGACCATAACACAAACGGTCGTCATCAGGTGTGTCGGTTTGCATAAAGTTATTTATTTTTAAACGGTTTATTTATTTATTTATAAAAAAAAACGTTAGCGCCACGCGCAGCGATTTGGTAGTTTATTTAGAAAGATTCGATAAACCATTTCAGGTCTTAATTGATTGTTCACGCTTACAGTGGCTTTCAGACAGCATACATTACATTTTTCGTCTCCCCCCTCCTCTTTTCAGAACATAGATGGACTCAAAATTTAAGTCAATCCTATTTAAGGAGGGGTTTGCGCATGTGAGAAAACCAGAGTGCCCGAAAAAAGAAAACTCAGATTACTTTGTGCTTTGAAATTGCATTCTGACTATATTAGCAACGAAATGGAAATGTTACTGTTTTTTTTAAACAAACATTGGTTAAAATGTCATTTTATCAGAACACAAATCAGACACACAGACACCATCGCAAAATAGAATTAAAATAACGTGTGCCTTTGTTTACTTTGTAAAGAATTATATATTCGGTCGGTATTCGGAGACAGGGGACGACTCAGGCGCCAGGAGGAACCACAGACAAGCACCAGCACCAATGATTGCCCAAGCTCTCTGGCCCTTTATATATTAAGCTGTTATCGGACAATGAATGAGTGCTGACATAAGGGGAGGAAACCGGAACACCCAGAGAAAAGCCACGTGTGCGAGGGGGGAATCCTGTCGGCTACAATTCTTACAAACGGGGAATGCTGCAAAGATGAAAACTAAATCGGAGCACTCATGATCTCACCACAATGGGTAAAGGTGAAATGTACTCTGTAAAGCTCTGCTGTCCTACAGTATTCGTGTTATACATCCATACAGTATATTCAGATTGACTATAAGTGGAAACACGTTTTCAAAGTCAGACGAGTTCACGGGCCACTTGTCGGTGATAAAAAAAATAACAACGTACAGCTTAAATAATTCCTGTGAAACGCTTCAACGTAAGAACTGTGCCATCTGGTGGCCTAGAAGTGCTCTCGTCCTATCGTCACGCAACAAACAGGGTGGGTGGATGGATTTGGGAGGCGATTTCCTCTGAACTCCACGCAATCCTGTGGGGAACGGTGGCGCAGTTTGGTTAGCGCTGTAGCGAACTTCAGGAGGCAAAAAAGAACCCCCCCCCATGACCGACTCTGCGCGGGGAGGTCTTCATCCAGCAGTAGAGTGACAAAGGGCTGGATTTATTTTGTTTGTTTGTATGTATAGTTACTGTATACTGTGTTGAATACGAAAAACATGTGTTTAATGCAACATTACTTAGATACGTTAGCACAGTACAGTACTATGAAATACAGGACTGTAGTTGTTTGTAATGTTAACACGGTAACATTGCATGTTATAAGGACATTGAAAGTAAATTAAATAATAGCATACGACGTTTCGATTACCGAAATAACCAAAGAGTAATTCCTGCAGTCACACAAGCTCCAAATCAAGATTGAAAGTAAGTACACAAGTGTACTGTAATGATTTGCATGTCTGCAATTACAAGAAGTATATTACAACACTTGACACGAAACAGCTGTAACATGTAATCAAACATTCTGTTTGGCCAGGAAAGCCCGACTTAGATTATAACTTTTTTTTATATTTGCCCGGATGCATTTTGAGTGTTTTGGGGGTTTGAAGCCCACACGAAGTAAATACGAAACGTTGGGCCAACGTTGGTCCCGCGCTTCCAACCTAAAGCGAACGTCCGCTCAACGTTGAGCAATGTGCACACGCACGGGAGGAGAGGACGCTCCACTTGTGCTGCACTGCATCTTGGTTGTTGTTTGACTTGCATTCCACTGGGATGTTTGCACACAGCGTTGGTGTACGGTGCTATTTCAGGAATATTTTGATGTTTTTTTCCTGGATTTTCTGTTTGCACAGTCACATAGTCACTTTAAGATGTTTTCTTGTTTTTTTGTGTTTGTTTGTTGCGGTTGCACCCGATTCAAGAGCTGAATGGCTCACAGGGCTATACCAAATAAATGAAACTGAAAACTGAATCTTGTTGGCACTTTGTCGCCCAGTCGGTTTGATTGGGTATCCGCACACGAAGTTAGTTGCGTCTCATTGTGAACCACCAACCTTGCCCGCCAAGTCAGGCCTGGGGACCGCTGTGAGAAGTGGGCCATCTGGTGGCCGCATCGATTTAATTACAAAATGTTAATTTCCCGTCATGAAGAATCTGAGTATAAAAATAAATACGCAGACAATGCGCCTCCTTCCGATACCTGTCCCTTCACCTCCGCAATTTTTTTTTTATACAAATCTGATCACCCACACAGCCTTGTATGAGTGCATAATTTCAGCAGCATTGGTCCAATACAAGCAAACGTTGCACCAGTTCAGCTGTTTGGCTTAGCTTCACTAAATCACTTCATTGGCCAGACCTGGCGCTACATTGCAATTGTAATACTGGAGTGTAAATTTTTACTGTATTGTATCAAAATGTAAAATGTGATTGGAATCTCAGCTAAAGGAAGCTGCTGTAATTATAATTGCCCACAGATTTCCCCCAAGTCAACAGATCGTGTGTGTGCACCACCATACACATTTACATATATGTTGAACTTTTTTCGCACCGTACATATCCAACCGTGCTAATCGGAGATGTGGGACATCCATGCATACATAAACCAGTGAATGGCCGATCACACCTTATAGTTGTTATTTAAGCCAGCAGTCATACTGAAAATGTATTCACAGCGATATGGCAGTGGGTGTTGAGAGGGTTTATGATGGATAATGTCCAGTTATGCATTACATATATTCATCTATTAATATACGTGCACACAAGTGTAGGGGCATAGCGCATGCTGCTGGCACAAAAGGGTAACTGCGGTGTACAGCAGTACTGACGTCAGCAGGCCATGATAGACACGAGAGGGGCACATCTAGGGGGGAAAGGTCACAGAGGGGGAGGGGCATCGGGAAGCCTCGGGAACCCGCTGGTAGGTTCCAGTGAGGGGGCGTGGCCAGGGCGGAGCAAGGCCACGCTGAGAGTATAAGAGGGGCCCCTGTGAGGGACCTCGTGGCTGTTATTGGAGTGGGATCCCCGTTGTGCTGCTCAAGTCCATCGTCGCCATTCTTCTTGTCTTCGTTGCCATCGTCGCTGTCGTCTTCACTCGATATTGCGTTGCTAGATAGTTGTTGGCTGTCTCCATTCAGCGCTGTGAATGTTCGACGGTTAGAGTTGTGTGTAGGCTAGCAACAGTTACAGTGTGTACCCACGTAGGGTGTGTATTATCCCGATGGTATTCGTTAATTAAAAGAAGTGCCCCCAAGTCTTAACGTCTCTGAGTTAGTCACTACACAAGTAAGAATCATAATAAAGGTTTTTTTGGGTTAGATCGCATTATTTATAAATGTGTCGTAACCCTCCACCACCCGACACGGCCAAACAGTAAAAAATGTGTCACCTTTACAAAAGACAAATAGTTCACTACTTTAGCCCACCGGTGTGTTGAAGAGTGAATCAACATTTAAAATTTTTAGTACGACGTTTCGCTGGTAAATACATCCAGCATCATCAAGCAATTTGCCAGAATGGTGAGGCCCTCCGCTTGCTCCCGGTCTTAAATAGAGCAGCAGGGTGACGTCATAATTTAACCCAATCTAATGCAGTGATTCGAGGCACAGAGGGGGAGGGTATTGTAATTATATAATAGATTGGTCATCATTAAATTGTTGTTCATTGGTATTTGTTTCCCCTATAAGGAATTGTAATTGTAATATATTTTATTTAATAATACGCTTCCAGGCCGCACAGCCTGTAGCTGTCAGAGCGATTAAAGTTATTTGTATTTCTCTCAATTTCAATGGATTCTCTAATTAGTCTTGGCCAGTAATAATTAGTTTTACACAGCACTTCAACATTATAAAAATTAATTGAGTGTCCTTGTTGACAAGCATGCTCTGCCACTGCCGACAGTTGTGTTTGAGATAATTTAATATTTATTTGGTGTTCTTTTAGTCTTACGCTGATGTTACATCACGTCTGACCAATTTAGCATCTGCCACATAAACAATTAATCCAATATACACCTTCTGTTAGTAATTTAGGCAATTCGTCTTTAGTGCAAGATACTAGTTTTTGAATTTTGTGTACTGTATCAAATCTTACTTTAATGTTTTGCTTTTGCAAAACACGGGCTAATTTGTCAGTTACTCCTGAGATATATGGTATTTTAATTGTTTGAACAATATGATCGTAGCCGATGCATTACTATTAGTTTTTGGGGTTTGGCCACGTGGTCGTTTTATGCCAACATTCTTGTCATTAACCCTCCACCACCTGACAAAGATTGTCACGTTAATAAAGGCATTAATTTATACGTGACAACATATTGATCAAGTTCATCGGAGGCTTAAATCTTTTAACGTCTAAAGTTGACATCAATATGTTGCGTTTCGCTCAAAACTGATTGA